TTTAATATGGATGGCAATTCCTGGGACCTTGCCCCTTCACGAGTTAGATCAAAATCTTGGGAGTGGGACCCAGGCATCTTTAAAAGTTCTCTAGATGATTCTAGTGAGTGCTGAGCATCAGAATCTCAGACGAGTCATTCAGAAGAGGCTTAAGAGAATCTTCAGGAGAGTATTCGTATGAGATCTGAAAAAGCCTTGCAAGCCTGCAATGGACCTCCCTTCCCTCCAAACTTGGGAAACACTTGTTTTGAATGCTTGTGAGATGGATCTAGAAACTAATCCACTGTAGTATGCTACCATAAATTCCATGAGCTTAGTCTTATTGTGACGAATGGCTGGGAAGCTCCAAAGCTTTCCGAAACAGCTCTACGTCTCTACAAAAGCATTTTAAAATTGTTAGCACTATTAGAAGCCACATTCAATCCTTGTGACCACAATAGAACCTTAGAAGATATAAAAAATTAAAATCTATAGAAAATGGCAGGTTGTTTTTTTTAGAACAAAATACTTTAGGAAAGTGTTCATGCTAAATACAGTATATAAACCCATGTGTGTTCAACATATCCAATTCCACTCCTGCTTGCAAAATACCATTTTACATACAATCTTGCCGACTTAAAAAAAAAAAAAAAAAAGCAAGCAGCAAAGAGAAACATTTGTAAGCAAAACAAGAAAACACATTCATGCCCTTCTGTACTGATGATTAAGCCACATGTAAAAAATTACAAATTCAAAAATAGAGCTCCATAATCCAAGAATTGCCTTTTTAAAAAATTTACACTTAGGGTAGTCTACATTTTATTAGTTATTTGCATAGGTGGTAAGAACATGCTTTCTGGGTTAGATGGAGGCCATGCAAAATCGTTTTCATTACTTGGGGGGAAAAAATGACTTGTCATGCTCAAATGGCAGCTGCAAAACAAACACTTTGAGAGTTGATCAAAAGGCAGTGTGAAACACTACGTGTTCATTTGAAGAAAGCATAGGATTTCCCCCTCAAAAATGTAGTCAGGTTTAACAGTAACGTTTCCTTTATGAAAGTAAAGACCGACAGTCTGCACCGCAGCAGCTACTCTGTTTGTGATATAGGCACTGGTTTGTCAGCCAAGTTTGTTCTTCTCAATTCCAAATAATACAAGTTCAACACGCCTCACAGAATATGTGTTTTATTGAAACTGTGCTTATGATTTGCATACTATCTCAAAAATCCAACCCAGAAACACTAATTATCTTGCCATCCAATAATTCCGATAACCTACGTACGAAACAACCGCTTCGGCTGTTCGGTTATTTGTCAGAATGAAATGTAACGTCAGATGTCAAGCTATTTTTTAGAAACACGTTTATTTGAAGTAAGTGAGCTCTGTTCCACAGCTCTTCTTTGCTCCATTCTTCCTAAAGGCTGACACTACCGCCTCCTTGACATACTGTCCCTAGTTTTTTCCGCGACAGTTACTTTAGAGAGATGGCAATTTGTCCCCGGCCCCCAATCCCCACATCTACTTTCATACACACGTGGATGACCAAATTCTAATGGAAAGTGACTTTGTAATGGATTTTCAACCCCTAAGTAGTAGAGACAGCTCAGTCTGAAAAAGTGGATGTTAAGAGTAAAATGTCTCTGAAGATGAAGAAGGGCACTTTTGGTTTCTGGAACAGGAGAGACTTGCTCAAGAGGACCACAGGCCTTGGCCAGTTCACCAGAATCCACTTGCTCTCTTTGTTCGGGGAGGGACCATCACTCCATTTAGGGTATCACTGGCATCCCCTGGCTCATCGGCTGGGCTCCCAGGGCTCCTCGGCTACAGCAAATTCGTGATGCTTTCCGCTTGCTTTTATGAGCAAAGCAGGCCCTCAACAAATGCTTGCAGAATGAATGAATGAATGAATGAGGAAAGAATGATTACAAGGGTTTAGGGCAGCTTCACAGAGAACTATAATATTTTACCAGACCACAAATACTCCCACATCCATGGCTATTGGTCCAGCGAGGTATTACTTCCTTTCAGTTAGGTTGCTTTTAGGATGGGAAAACACCAGGGCTGGGAGGTGATCTTGAAATGACATGAGCTCAAACGTTTCGTTGTGCTTCCACATTATACAAGGGATTGCAAAGGAATGATATAGCCTCAGTGCACTGGATGTTCACAGGAAAAGAAAGAAAAAATAGAAAGGTTTTTTAAAAGCAAAAAACATTAAAAAGCCACACTCCTGTCAGGGATTACTCTGTGCCTACCAGGAAATGACTGCTCTGGCCCACCTGGTTATCAACCAGAAACTCAGGCCCACCATCCCTGACAGATCATTTCTAACCCCAAAGCACAAATATGCTCAATGCGCCAAACATCACCAGGAAAATAAAAAACAAAGCAAACACCATGTCCCTAAGCTACTGAACAACTGAACTGAACCAAGTAATAATTTTCCCATAAGATCTTTCACACCTCAAAGACCACGTCCAAACTTTTGGGCAAATATCCTCTTCTGTGGCTTAAAGATGGTTCCTAGTCATTATGGATGAGATTTTCATTGTTTATCAAGAAAAAAAACAGAACAGCTTAAAGATGCCCAGACAATGCCGCAAGGCTTCCTTTTTTTTTTTTCATTTAAATATGAAAAAAAGAAGACTAAACCCCACAGACTTATAGTTTACAGATACTGAATTTTTTTTTCTAGTTCCCATGGAAAATTAAAAAGAAATCTGCAGAGTTGTTCTTTAGTTTGGTGTTTTTGGTTATTTTTTTTTTTTTTTGAAAAGAGTAGATATAATGGAAAATCCATTCCTGAAGGTCTCGAGAATAAAAATATTTGCCACTGTGAAAATTAAACTAGATTCTACTAATGCTTAACTGATAATAGCCACAGAAAAAGGTGTTATTAAACCCTTTGGGCAGACAAACTATAATTCTAAGGCTGTTTCAGAGCTTCGGATAGGAGATTTCAAATGACATCTACCTTTTTAAAAGAAAGACGAGAGGCTCAAATCAGACAAATATTCAACTCCTGATTGATGATCCCATACTTGGTGCATCCTTTCCAGGAAATAAAAGTGACACAGAAAAACCAGCAGTGGCTAAACACTGAGAGGGCTGTCAGTGTGCCCGAGGAAGCAGTGACAACACTGAGGGAGGGCAGCCAGTCGTCAACGGTCACACTACAACAGAGAGGAGAGGAGCGCTGCTTTGGGAGACCAGAAGCTGGTGCAGTGCAACGGGGACACCTAGTGAAGGGGTGAGTACAGGGTTGAGTGCACTGGGCAACAGGCTCATGTTCAGTGAACTTCACGGAGCACTATGGTAACTTCCACAAGGTGGAGTAGCTAATTCTTAAAAATTGCAAGGGTCTAAAATTCCAGCTACCCTCAGCAACAATGGCCTCCAGACTTGCAAGTTACCTGCTAACGCTCAAAGTAGCAGCAAAATAAAGTTAGAAACCTACTGGAAATATTTCCCAAGAGGTATTCATGGGGGAAGGCGGGATGGGGAGGGGAAAAAAAAAAGGCAGTACAGAATTCATAGCTATGCATGTGTATGTATTCTAATCACTTCACACACAGCAATACTGAAAAGGGAGGTTATAAATGGATTTGTGCACCAAGAGTTTAGGAAGAACTAGAAGGGTTTACAATTTTTTTTTTACAAGTTAGTATTTTAAACCATAAAAACTTAGCATGCTGTACTTCATAGCAAAGCGACAAATGCTACGCAAAGAGAATCAGGGTCATGACTCTCCTGACACTTAAAAAAAGAAATAGAAAAAAGTGCCAGGATACCTCCAGAAATCTCAAAGAACTATGTATCTTGCTTATCGGTGAGATTTTGGGGAGGTTCCCTTGTTTTCTGAACAAGAAATGCAATTCGCACTGACAACGCCAGATGGAACATGCTCCAATCCTGCTTCTGAGTTCTGGGCGAGAGGTGAGGTCTTAAGCACAGAGAAGAAGCGAGCGACTTACTGGAGAGCGGTCTGCCACTGACAAGCAGCATCAGAAGCGCACACGGAATACTTCGTCACACGCTGCTTCAACACACCATCGGCTGACGCTCAGCATTAAGCATCTTCTTTCCTCTCCAAGTTACAAGAAACACGGGCACGCGCACAGAGGGTAGCGTCGAGCTTTCAGCTTCCAACACACAAAAAAGCAACAGCAGGGAAGGAAAATGGTACAGATTCACGCATCTAGGTCAGAATCCACTTTTTTCCAGGACTCTTTCAAAGGTGTTAACTGCTCTACTACATTTCAAAATGCCAATGGCCATAGCTATAGCAAATTTAGAAGGAAAACAAAATTAATTAGTGACTGGCTCTCTGGCTGTCCTACGTGCCACCTCTTAGGACATATCTTAAGAATCAAGACAGCTTATAGTACACACATCTTTGCAGACATGAAGGTCTGAAAGACTTCAGTTCTGCCTCTAGAAATTTCTATCTGCGGCAGCTGGAGAAGCAACAGTCACTCACAGGCCACCTTCTTCGTCAACCCTTTTACTGATGTGCATCCACCCTAAACTGGCTGAGTATATACCTGAGAAACATTAGTGTGAAAATATTGCCCTTTACAGAGACTGGTAGATGGGGCCAAAGTGCAGAAGGTAAGTCTTCTCTCGGTTTGTTCGTTGTCAGCGTCACAGTTCTTAGAGCTCCTGGTGCCATACAACAATCAGCTGTGAGGACAAATCCTGCTCAGATGAAACCCAAGTCAAACAACCGATCCTTCTACAGCACACGCTAATGACAGCCTAACTGGTTCAGAGGTTTCCAAACCCTAATGCCCAACGGAAGTCATGAGAGTTCTCTGGAAAGAAATATGTACAATTGCTAAAGGGACCGCCCAGGGTCTCGTCTACAATTCTTCCAGTTAGCTTGGTATCAATGCTTTGCCTACGGCTGTTATTTGGTTCAATGGCAGAATAAGGCGACGCTTTTAACAATTTGCAGTTGAATTCTACACATACATATACACACACTCACACGCACATGCGCGAGCGCGCGCGCGCGCACACACACACACACACACACACCAGGCACGTGACCCAAAACATACAAAAGCATAGAGGGCTTTGGTGGGAGGGAAGGGTTCTAAATAAATAAACATCTTTACAGATAAAACACTTAGATTGCAGAAATATCACTGAGGTTTTGGAGAAGGCCGTGCAGAGGTTTGCATGCTAGAAGATAACTTTTTTGAGGATTTCTCAGCGGACTGCCTGCCACCAGGAGATGCCGGCACTCCAGGATCCGGCTGGGAAGACTTGGATTTGCGAGCAGAAAGCAGGGAATGTTTAGCAGAAGCAGGGTCCTTGGAGACAAGCTGCTCTCTTCCAGCTGCACTTGCATTGGGCTGCCGGGAACCTGGAGGCTGGTAGCCTTTCTCTGCTTCGTCATCCACGGCATTCTTACCAGCCGACTTGACAGAGCTCCCACCAGCCTTCTTGGAGAGTAAGGTTGTTTTGCCAAGGTCAGTCGACCGCCGGGTTTCCTTCTGTCTCAAGGCTGACTTGAAGAAGGACAGCCCCTTGTCTTCTGACTTGCTGTCCCTTTTCAGACCAGACTTCATGTTTGCATTGGGGGAACGCAGACTGGCCATGGAGGAGCTCCTGACGTGCTTTCCATCCCCTCGGCCCTCCCCCGCCCTGGCCTGGCTCACCCGAGGGGAGTTGGGTTTAGAGCTGGAGGTGACGCTGGCTCTGTCCGAAGCCAGGCTTTGCCTGGAGCCCTCTCTACTCAAGCTCCAGTCTGAAGTCCTGCTCTTCCCAGGAGGGAGGGGGCCCCTTGCAGCAGGGCCCGAGGATTTTTTGGCAGACGTGGAGGGAGCAGTGTAAGTGAGGGAGGAAGATGATTTCTGCCTCTGGGGTGAAGGAGATGACGTGGAGTCCTGGGGTTTGGAGGAGGACTCCTTTCTGGACTGGCCAGGAGCAGGGGAGGAATGCCGTCCACTGGCCCTGGAAGAAGAATCTGCTTTGCTTCGGGATCGGGAGGGCTTTATAGAAACTTTTACAGGAACGGGAGAAGAAGGGGATGTACTTGAAAGAGAGGATTCCTGGCTTGCCAAGACTGGTCTACCCTTCCGCAAGCTTCTGTCTGGCTCAGAAGTGCCTTTGGAGCTGGGGGATCTCTTGGCTGTGCTGTCTGGTTTCTTTGTGAGGGAGCCCGGGTGGCTTGTGGGTTTCACTTCTTTGACTGGAGAGCTGTCTACAGAATCGCTCTGATCCACATAAGCAATTTGGTTATTGTTATCAAATGGATCAGAGATGGGGGGCACATGATCCCCTTGTGCTGAGTTTTTGCTCTGTGTGTCTACAACACTGGAGTTCAATTTGCGGGTGTCTGATTCGTCTCTGAACACACCTTCCATGACAGCCAGAGGGGCCCGACCCACAGCCTTGTGCTCACGTCGGCTGTGAGTATCATTTGATTCCTGGTAACTGCTGGCAAGGTTCCTCAAGCTGCCAAAGCAAGAGATAGAGACCTTGTCATCCGCTGCCTCCCCGATCTTCTCCAAGGTGGAGGCAGAGGTGTGGATCGGAGAGTCCCCTGAGAACCGGGAGGGAGAACTGGAGCGCATCTGCAGCTTGGCGGACAGGGACCAAGAAGGTCTAATGCAATTGTCGTTAACGGCCAAGGGGCTGGTGACAGAAGATCTGGATGACAAGCTCTGACGCTGGACACTTCTCACGAATGGTCGAGTTGAGAAACCTCCTGAATGCAGCAGAGAGAATAGCATTAACCTAAACCAAAAACACGTCCCAGCAACACCTTAAGATATTGAAGATGGAAGGCAGGCAAGCCTGGTGGAATGACAAGAGTGTGACCATCACAGCCAGCATGTCTGGGGTCACAAAGGCAGCCACGTGACTTCCAACTTTTGTAAGCTCAATTCCCCTCTGTACAAAATAGGGACATTCTAACTCAAAAATCAGTGAAGGGTCTCTTTACTTCTTGCTGTACATCGGGGGTCAAGAGACTTAAAGGCTCAGACAGTTCATGCTCTAGGGTTTGTGGGCCAACCACTCAGCTCTGTCACTGCAGGATGAAAGCCACCACAGAAGACACATAAACCAATGGGTGTGGCTTTATTTACAAATAAAGACAGGGGCCATATTTCGCCCATAGGCAGTCTGCTCTAACTCACAGGATTACTATGAGAACTAAATAAAATCCTGAAAGTCTTATGCCCACCTGGCACTTCGCAGGCACTCAGTAAACGTGAGCTACTGATGTAGTTTCTTCATCTAAGGACAACCAGGACCCACAGAAGTCAAGTCGCTGCTCAAGATTACAGAGTCAGAGGCAGAGCAAACACCAGAACCACAAACCCTTGCCCCTGACTCAACACCACATGCAATCTGACTTGTGATTATTGACTAGCAGATCCGTGGAAAAAAACAGAGACAATATACTCCTAGCCTGAGTGACTTCAAACTTCTGAAGGGAATATCCATAATCAGAACAATATACTCCTGAGTGATTTCAAACTTCCGAAGAAAAAGTTCATAATTAGAACTACACACTTCTATTTTGAGTGCCTTAAAACTTCCTTCCAAAGAAAATATTCTAAATCAGACTCCGTGCATATTGGGTACTACAGCTGTGGTGTAAAACCTTCCAGATAAGATCCTCAGAGACAGGCTCTGCTCTGTGGGCACCACCCGGCCCCCTGGTGATGACGATGCTGAAGAGGATAGTGATTTCACCAACTACACTGTTTAAAAACTGACCGAGGGCAAACCAGCCTACTGTTAAAACAACAGTGAATTCTAAATTCAAAGACCACATTGAGAAAAACCTACCTAAACAAGCAAAGGTCCACTGGCTGGTTTTCCATAAAATGTCAGGAGCTTAGCGATTCCAGTTAAGTACTATTACTTTACAAATAAAGAGGTAACAAGCCAGAAGAGGGAGCGGGGCTGGAGTCGCAATGATGCAGACCTCCCCTGCCAGCCTCCTGCTGCTTCCCTCCACTTCACGTTCTCAGTTCTCACAATTACCCATCCCAAGACGCAGATTACAGCCACCAGCTGGCCTCAGATTACAGCCACCAGCTGGCCACCACCGGCTGGCCGCAGAAGGAGACTTGCTGCGACATGAGTCACTGTCCTCATTAGAGAAGCTGAGCTCACTCTCACCTCCTCCCAGCCTCAGTGCCTGGGCTGCCTGATCCCTCCCGCAACACCTGGGGTTCCTGTCAGAACTGAGGGTTCTGCTGCCATTACTCAAGCAGTCAGTGAAGGTTTAAAAAAAAGGGGAGGTCCATTTGTATTGTATTTCCCAAGTTTTTGTATTGCGACCATCTTCAGAATTCTTGAAAACTACCTTTATGCAAAGGCAAGAGTTTTTGCTCTAGATGCTTCTATACTTAAAAGAACATGCCACAAATTCCTCTAAAGGAAACGGAGGTAGAAAGGGGAGAAGTCAAGGGTCAGGTAGCCCTCACCGGAGCCAGCACCGTGACGCCTCCTTGCCAGGAGGCCCGGGGCAAATCACCACTTTGCAGAGTCCCCTTACAGCTTATTTTAAGGACTCTGAAAAGCACTTTGAAAGAAATGTATATATTATTGTACAGAGTTAGAGCTCCAGCCTCCACGCTAGACCTTAGAAGTGGAAAATAATGAAATGGGAGAAGAAAGTCATCCTAAAGTTTACAGAGGAAAAGTGAAGGACCAGGTTTATAGAAAATAGCACTTACGACTGTAACCTACAGCTACACAGCCCTTTTACCTTCTCCCAGTCTTCTTGGGCCTTAGTTCCTAAGCATGAGGTACACTGTGCATGTCTATGAGACACCATCATGGAAATGTGTCACAAAACCCATACCCACCATCATCTTCACTCCTCTCCCCAGCCATCTCCACCGACTCGGACAACGAGGCCAGGGAGGTACGTCTGGAGGAAGCTGCAGAGGTCACACTGGCTTGCTTGCTCCCCGGGAGTCGGCTCACCCAGTGTTCACACAAGGAAGAACTTGTGGAGCCTGCAGTAAAGGAAGCGGGCACTGAGGTCAGGTCAGAATCCCGGGCTGGCGGCTCGGTGCACACCTGCACAGAAGTGCGGCTGCCGGAGCTGGAAGCTGGCTGAGCCCATGCTGCTTGCCTGTTCCATTAAGATGAGAAGGAGGGCAGACTCGCACACGTTTATAGTACCGAAATGCAAGTGTAGGCATGGACACTTCATAATGCAAAGTGCAGGTCTTAAGTGCTGGCAATGGAATCATTCATACTCATTCTACAAATATTTATTAAGCACCTACTGCCAGGCACTGTTCTAAGCACACGGAAAAAATTCCCACACAGAGCAAATAAAAGTGGCATGCTCCGTTATCTACTTAGCCTCACTGCTTTGTGGAATAGTTAAGTCATTTTCACGATGTTAATATACAAACACACACACATACGCACATACCCAGGCTGCATGTCAGTCTCTTAGTGTCCATTCCAGGGATGCCCTAAAATATACTCCAGAGCAACAGATACTGCTCTTGAAATTGAGAACATGTCTTTAATAGACTTCGAGAGGATGTAATTTCCAAGCATATCTCAGGCTGTGGAAAGCACTGGGGGAAAGGACTAGAGCACTGGAGTTCCCACTCTCTTAATGGAGTGAGTGCCTACAGAGAGGCGGGTGTACTGAGTGGGGCTTGACCCCAGCAGGGGCTCACGCTGCTTCAGCTGTGCCCCCTTCCAGAGGCTTCGAACTTACCTCTCACAAGCTTCAGTCTGGGGCTAATACTCCCTAATGTGATCCCAGGTTACCATGTCCCCGTCCTCAGCCACAGTCTCTTAAACTCTGCATTAAGAAGCATGCATCGGGGCATCTGGGTGGCTCAGTGGGTTAAAGCCTCTGCCTTTGGCTCAGGTCATGTTCCCAGGGTCCTGGGATCGAGCCCCACATAGGCCTCTCTGCTCAGCAGGGAACCTGCTTTCCCCCTCTCCCTCTCTGCCTGCCTCTCCTCTACTTGTGATCTCTGTCAAATAAATAAAATCTATAAAAAACAAAAAAAAAAGAAGCATGCATCATCTTGTTTGGACTGTGTGGCTGTATCCAGACTAGACCCCATCCAGCTAAACTCAGCCCATCTAATAGGACTATAGCCTTTAACCCTTCTAACAGAACAGGCCAACCTCACAGGGAAAAATAACTCTTTCTAATGGCGCTTTACCTTTCCTAAAAGGCTCTAACGTTCACTTACCGAATGTGATGCACACAATGACCCCGTACGGCAGGCATTATTGGTATTCCCAGATTACAGGGGATTAAATATGTGGCTTAGATGGGATGTGCTCCAAGATGATGATTCAACCAAAACATGGCAAAGCCAAGACTCATTCTCTCTTTTAGAGTAGCATGCCATACTGTTTTTCCATCCATCCATTCATTCATTCATTAGCTCATACCACAAGCAAACATGGTGAGCTCACTTTGAGACAGGCTCTACCGCTTCCATGTGAACTCTGCTGGTTCACACGTTGCATCCCTGTTTTCTTGACTGCAATCATTTTGGTTTCTGGATTAAGTGTAAATGTGACAATTTATCCGATCAGCCCCACGGAGTCATGAGACCTTGTGGAGTTCTCTGGACCATTCATTACAATCTTCTGTTCTAGAAAAACCTGCCGAAGAATAAGTTGGCCTTACCTGCCACTGAGCTGTTGGCCGACCATGATGGAATAGCCGTCCGCCTCTGGTAGAAAAGGATGTACGCAGTCTGTGTGCAGACCTCATCTTCCGACAGCTGCTGCACGTCGCTGTCATCAAAGCAGTACCACAGGCCGTCCACAGAGTTCTTACAGTACGCTGCCAAAAAAGAGCCTGTCATCAGTACCAGGGGAGGAGGGCGCTAGCCCCTCCACTCTGCCCAAAGACACTTGTGTTTTGGCTCGCATCATTAATTCAAGAGCTTTTTAAGGCTGCATGTAATATGGTTAAAAAAAAAAATTTTAAATTGTCTATCACACTCAGGCAAAATGTTTCAGGGAATTCTAAACTATTCCAAATGGACAAAACTCTCTTTAATCTTAGAAAACACAATATACTCATTTATTTAAACCAGTGGGTCTCAACCTGGGACAATTCTGCTCCCCTAGGGACACCTGGCAATGAATGGAGACATTTTTGACTGTCACACTAGAGGGCAGGGTGCTATTGGCATTGAGTGGGTGACTGGGGATCCTGCTCAACATTCTACAATGCCCAGGACAGTCACCGCTGCAAGAATTATCCAGCCAAACTATCAAGAGTGCTAAGGCTGGAAAACCCTGATATAAGCATGTTATCACATTTTAATGTTTATTAGAGATAGAAAACAGAACTAGAAATAAGGATACTAACACTACCAGAAGCTAATATTTGTTTAGCACTTATTATGTGCCAAACTTCTCAGCTAATCCTATGAGATTTGTTCTATTATTATTACCATTTTACAGAAGCTCAAAAAGATTAACTGGTTTGCCCAAGGTCAAGCAGCTGGTGAGGGGCAGGGCCCAGCTCACAACAGATGAATCTAGTCCTAGATGTAATCTAGTGTAAGAAGAGCTTACACTTAAACCACCCCACCCTTCCTCCCTCAGGGGTAGCACAAACAGGGACCCAGAAGTCCCCTGGCAAACTAAGAACATTTGAGCTCATAAATGCATGCATGTTTCTCTCCAGTTCAAATTCTAAGCCTGAGATAGAAATAATGACCATTCAAGTACCAACAAAAGCAGATAAGAACTTAGTGTTCACGAAGCTATGTAATCTCAAAAGGATATATCAAGGGGTGTGATAAGCTTGATCCAGAGGGATACATTCTTAACAATCTTTCTACAAATACCCATTTATTGGAGTGAGAATGAATGAGTGTTAGAATATTTAACTGAACACTCCAGGAGCAGGGCATATAGTGTCCTAGAGCTCAGGAGTTCCCACTCCAGTGGCGCCAAAGAGTGACTCCCTTGTAGGCAACAGCCACGTTTGTCAGTATAGAACCTTAAGAAATGAAAGGGACCCGGGTGAGGAGGGGCTACATTGGACAAGTCCCCGAAAAGAAGATCAGAATAAGAATCTTTGATTGTGGGGAGGGAAGTCATGGATAGCTATGAACTGCTAGAACGAGAAGGGGAGAGAAGTGGAGAGAGAGGCAGCACAGGAGCTGGTAAAACAGCAACTGGCCAGTGGTGTCAGGTCAGACTTGATATAGAAATGACCCGGCTGGCGAGGTGGCTGCTCGTCTAGAGTGGGACACACACCCAAGACACGGTTACAGAGCAGCCCAGCACTTATGCTGCAGTGTTTCTCTTCAAGGTGGTCTGTTCTCAGTCACAGTAAGGCAACTAAGGCAGCAAGGCAAATCACTAATGGTTTCAGTGTATTTACAAAATAATTCTGCTTGCTTTTCTTCCTGGCACTAGCTTCTCAATTGTTCTCTAGACAAGTGCTACTCAAATTGTGGTTCATAGACTGGTCTCGGTCCATAAGATAAGCACCCAAACTGAGATTAGCATTTAATAGCAATCTGACGCTGTTGTGATATTCTTACTGTATTTTTACAAAGGCTGTTTCATGAAAAATTGGAAATTTTAAAAAAGAAAAAAGGCAGGTTCTTCATCAAGGAAGTCTGATCTAGAATTCATACACGAGTTAGCCATACACGTACTATGTAATTATAGCTAGAACTAGTGCAAAATAAAATTCTAATTAAAAACTTAAAAACATGTTATCTTGAATTCAACAACACTAAGGCATTTAAAATGTTCTCTAAACTAAAACCGTAAACTTTTATATATCAATCAGAAAAGCAGTGGTATAACCTAGGCATCACAAAGGGGAAATAATGCAGAAAGTGCCTAAGCTCTTCCTAGGTAACAACAGGTCCCGAGAGGCAGGCCTGCACCCTTCTAGCTCACTGGCGTAGTCACCAAGTTCATGTGAGGTCACCTGCCATAGGTCACAGAACGTGGAAGAGGTGTCTAGCTTCTAGCCCATGTTCCTGTCTCTAAACTATAGGACCTCCAAAGTACCTGTGGGTTTTCAGGTATTTTCCAAAGCCTACTCTATATAGAGAACAAAACAGGATAAAATCCAGTTCTGTCTTACTTTTTCTCAACAATTTCTTGCTAGAAAGTGCATTTTCTTGAGAAACAACATTATCAATGCAACGCACATTCTCTACCGACAGCAGGTTACTATCCCCACAGCTTCTCCTGTGCCTCCAGCACTCCGACCACATTCTCGGGGACCCCTGCCACGCCCACTATGCACATTTCCACCACAGAACCTACGACACATTACTGATCTTACATATCATCCGGCCCTATATCCCCCTATCCGATTACGCTCCTGGAAGACAGACTTAAGGCCTGCTCGTTTCTGATGCGTCTCTGCTGTGAGCCCATGGCAAGCTATATAGGATGTAGTCCATGAATGTTTACCTAAATAGAACCTACCAGTACAATCACGACAGTGTAAAATAATGGCCAAAACTTACAGAAAAACACTGCAAGAAATATTACCTACATACAAGGGACTCTATCATTCAGCTTTAAAAGGAAGGAGATTCCGACACATTTAGAACGTGGGTGAGTCTTACATGAACTAAGCTGGACACAAAAGGACAACTACTATATGGTTCCACTTACAGAAGGTTCCAGGAGTAATCAGATTCAGAGAGACAGGAAGACTGGTGGTAGCCAGGAGATGGGGGGAAGAAGGCAGATGAGAGTTGCTGTTTAATGTTTCCTTTTGGAAAGAAGAAAACGTCTCCAGACGGGTGGTGGTGAGGGCCGCACAACAACGTAAATGTACTTAGTGCCAATGAGCTGCACACTTCAAACGTGGTTCAAATGGTCAATTTTGATAGGTACGTTTATCGCTACTTTTTTAAAAAATGTTACCAACAGTTATTTCTGAGTGATGAGCCCATGGGTGATGATAATGTTCTTTCTCTCCCTCTCTCTAGTTTATAAATTTCAGATAATGAACAAAGTCACTTTTAAAAAATGAAGAATAAATTTAGCCTTGAAACAAAAAAAACTCTTCCAAGTCACTTTAAAGACTCTATGAAGCTGGTTCATATAATCACTCCAAATAAGCAAGAAGCTAGAATTTCAAGGAGGCGGAATGAAACCTTAAATGTGGAGCACAGGGGAGGTAACCACAGTGAGCCCTTGGTGGCCCAGACAGTGCTGTCTGTACGCACCACTCCCCAGTCAGGTCAGACAATTACTGGAGGATCCAACTCAGGAAAAGGAAGAATTTTCATTTATTTGCTCTTGGATAGAGATCCAGAGGATGAAACTGCCCTCAAAGTTGGCACACTGCCTACTGGAAGAGAAAGGGAGATTCTAAAGCAAAAGTAACCCTGTCAAAAGCAAAAGTTGTCTAAAGGAAGGGTCAGCATAGACACCCGGCCTCTCGCACTGCAGACCTGTGTAGTGCCCCCCTTGCATGGTGCCATGATGATTGCACACAGCATACAGATCATAGACGTAGTCCTCAGGGTCCCTCCCGAGTCCATAGGGCCGTCTCCATGGAGACCAATGGGATGGTAAACTCCAGCTGCTCTGACTTCTCTTAACCACATGAGGTGTCATATCCAGGCCAGTCAAGGGGAACTTGACCATGTTCTGAAGTTTCACACGCCTGTCTCCTTCCTGTTGCAAGAAGAAAAACAAGTTCTGATGATATTTTCATGCAAGTAGATGGGAGATCAGTTTTGTGTGGAATGTGGACCCTATCAGCTAGAGTGGTTTGAGTTACCTATCTGATGTTTCCCAAGGCACATACAAAATAGGGAAATTCACTAACAGTTTGAACTACCTGGAGAAACAGGTTGTAATACCACTAAAAGTAGAACAAGCCATGACCTACGTATAAGGGGTCATGAACCTCTGAGTCTCCATTTCCTTATCTGATACAGGGTTTTTAGGTTTTTTGACTTACAGAATGACATTATCAGGCAGTTCATCCTGATACCTCTGTCACAGAGGCATGCACAAGGGACGGAGTGATCATGTACGTGAGAGACGATGCACAATGCTGCCACAGAAGAGCGATGGATAAGCAGTATGCCCTTTTCCTCCCCACCTCTCCCAACAAGCACATTACTGCCTAACATTGACTTAATATATTCATTTAGGTGATAATCTTGGGTAATCTTTACTTTCTATTGAGGCCACTGGGAAATCCTCTGAAATCCAACCATTAGCTCAATGGCTGTTTTCTGAATGTTTCCTATCTATGGGAGCTTTAAGAAATTAACCAGCCACGGCTAACGCCCACCCCAAGGAACCAAGGATCTATTAAGAGAAGGAAAATGTTCATAAGAGAAAGGCAGGATGCACCCTAGATGGTCAGGAAGGTCAGACTAAAGAATCTGGACCTTGTTCGGCAATCAAGCACTGAGGCTTGAGGGAGGAGGGGACATCATCAGAACTGTGTGAGCAGTGCACAGGACGTGACATGAAGGAGCAGCTTAGGTTAGGAAATCAAGTAGAAGACAATGTGACTGCAACCAGCTAGGCAGTCTCACAGGTCTGCAGGGTGGGCTGACAGCACGAATGGGGAGAAGGGGACACACTCAGGAGACCATGTGGAGGCTCAGCCAAGCTCAAGAGGTGATTGGCTGTAGGGGAGGGCCAAGAAAGAAGTCAAAAGCAACACTGCAGTTTTGAGTCAGAGGTGTGTGCAGTGTGAGGACAGGCCTTCTAAAGAAAGAGAAAGTGAAGGAAGTTAGTGTGTGTGTGTGTGTGTGTGTGTGTGTGTGTGTGTGTGTGGAAGGGGCCAGAGAAGTCTGGGCTCTGAACATCACCAGCTTTCTACCTGTGGAAGAATGCATTTCTACCATGGAAGCATGCAGTTGGGACATTCCTTACTATTATAGGAGCCAAACCCCAAACCTTTCAGTGAAAGCCCAGCCCCAGGGATACTGTGCATGTCACCCCAGACACCTCCACTTCAACAGCAAGTCCTCAACATCTTCTGATTCTATTCCGGTCTTATCTTCATTGCCACTGCTCCATAGCAGCATCCCTCCCCTGGGCAGTTGCCATGGCTCCTTTCAGATCTCCCTAGCTTCATGGGTACAGCCTCACATTCTCTGCATGGCAGCCAGAATGGTCTCTTCAAATCACCAATTTGGTCATGTTGCTTCTCTGGTTATAACCCTTTATCAGAATCCCACTCTGCCTGCAAGGGTCTGCTTGGCCAGTTCCTGCACACCCCTTTGACCTCAACTCACAGCTTCCCCCACCCTCTGGAGCTTCAGCCAAACTGGCCTGCTTTCTGGCTCTGGCACGTGCTATCCGTGCCTAGGGCTCAGCGCACACTGCTCCCTCTGCCCCAGCGCGCCCACAGCCCTGCTGCCACCTCACCTGGGAGATGCCTCCTCCTAATCTTTAAGATACAAACCTTAAAGCTAGGCCTTAGGCACTTCGTAAACATTTACTTCCTCTTTACCTCTCCTACAACGGGGCCTCGGGAAATAGACAGCCTTTTTTTGAAAAACTGACTCAGAGTAATTCAGCTCAAAGCAGCTTTTCTTTGTATATATTTATGACTCATCTTCCCAACTATATGACAGCTCCCTGGGAGCAGGATGACACCCATTATTGGTGCAAAGAGAATTCTACCCACCCCAGAAAGGAGCTCTACTTTTTTTTTTTTCAATCCCAAAGTACAGTTACCAAATTTAAAATACAACATTCACAAATCAAAAGCAAGTCCTCAAAAACAAAGTAAAATATCTGCAGTATGAACTAAAATGTTTAGAAATTAAAGGGTTACAGGATGCTCCAATTTTGCTTTGGGTAAGAAGCAACTTTGGTAAAAAGAAACAGGGGGCAGATGTGTCTGTAACACCATGGACAGACACACTACATCAAAAAGGGACACCTGAAGAATCCCCATGCAGCCCACCGTAAGAAACGCCGTCACAGCTTTTCTCACTAGGACAGAGGATTTACCTACCTGTCGAAATCTCTTGAGATGTATAATAAGCACATCAGGCAGAGTCCAGAGGCTTAACGTAATGCTCCCCTGCTGCAGCTGCTTACAGTGCGGGCAACGCCAGGCGTCATCTGGGGCGAGCTGAAAACAAGCAGCACAAAACAACTTCCGTTAAGCAGCACTTAATGCAAGACTTTCTAGAGGAGACCGTGGCACTCCCTTCCTGGTCAGGGCAGGTGTGATTCAGAATCTCACTGGAAACCACGTATGATAGGGAGTCAATGGAAAAGCACAATCGCAAGAGGCACCTGGCCAGAGTGGCCCCCGAAGATTTGCTGAATACGTTATCTCTCAAAAAGGGATGACTGGGGCACCTGGGTGGCTCAGTGGGTTAAAGCCTCTGCCTTTGGCTCAGGTCATGATCCCAGGGTCCTAGGATCCAGCCCCGCATCGGGCTCTCTGCTCAGCAGGGAGCCTGCTTCCTCCTCTCTCTCTCTGCCTGCCTCTCCGCCTACTTGTGATCTCTGCCTGTCAAATAAAAAAAAAAAATCTTAAAAAAAAAAAAAAAAAAAAAAAAAAAAAAAAGGATGACTGAACAGGTAAATATTCCACCGAGGACGTTCAATGTCACAGAAGAACCTCAAATTCCACAAACTCCCAAACTCAACCTGTTGTCTTTCCATCAACACACTTCTTCCCCCTCTACGTCCTACCTCAGCGACCACCACTACCACCCACCAAAATTAGCATCCGTGGCAGGGGTGGGGGTGGGTATCGCAAGCCTTCAAACCCTTCGCTCTTCCTCTGATTCCACATCTATCTGAAGTAATTGTCCCCGCCACAGCTCACACCTGCCTCCTCTACTCCATTCCCACGGAGATGGCCTTAATTCCAAATCCTCACCCCTGCTCTTACCTGGACCTCTCCAAGTTTCCTAACCGCTCTCTCCACCCCAACAATGAAAAGCTCTGAAGAACGCCCCCACCTCCTGCTAGCAACAAGGTCTTTCTGAGGCTTCAAGTCCACGTGTGTCATCTCTCCAGGCGAGGCTTGCAGGATGCGGACACATTCAGTTAGAGGTGCCCATGCTGCACGTCTGGTGAGAGATTTCAATCCCCTCCCGAGTTCAGAAGATGCATGGGATTGAGGGCCACGAGAGTGATGAGGTAAAGAAACCACGGTATGGATGACAGTGCCCGCCGAGATGGAACAGACAGAAGTCAAGAACAGAATCTTGGGGAAATGCCTCTTTTTAAACAAAATACTAAAGCTGAGAAACCACCAGAGCCTGAGGATGTATAGTCAGAAAAATAGGCAAACCAGAAGCATTCTTTTTTATGCACACCAAGGAGAGAGAATGGCAAGATCCTGGAGAGACCGGATGGAGATGGAGCAAAGGCCACAGAACTGGGCAAACCAGGGGCCACCGAGAGTTTGCGAGGACGGTGTCAGAAGCGTAGTCAGATGCAGGGAGAGAAAGAGCTGAGACCACTACAGGGTAATGAAGCAGAAAGGAGGAGGAGAAGGAGAAAGGCAGGCCCGGTCACTGGAAAGGGAAACAGAATTGAGGAGATTTTTTTTTTTTTTTTTTCATGACAGGGATACCCAATCATGGTTGTAGGAAACATGGGGAGAAAAAGAAGTCTGGGTGGATGGAAGTGGCTCAGACACTTAGACCTGCAGGGACCTACACTGTCATCCAGTAAGTCTGCACCTCTCTATGACATAGTAATAGTCTCCAAATGTGGGCATCCAGCCCAGGCCTTGTGGTAAAGGGACAAGTTGTTGTTTATTTGTTTTGTTAACTTCTAATATAGATACTTACATAAGATACAGTAAGAATGTCCTGACAATGTCTAACAGCTATGACATTTTCTAAAATGTCTCTGATTTCTGCACTTTTCTTCTTGTAAACTGCTACAAAGAGCTCCTGGCCCTGCAGATCATATTCGGAGCACCGCCGGTCCAGCTAACTCTGCTCAGCAAGCGAAGGCCAGCCATCTCAGCGGGGAGCTGTTTTGTTTTCAGATGGTCAGAGAGTCCTTTCTCATATTAAGACAAATACATTCTCCCTTGTGTTTCCAATCTTTAAGTTCTGCTTTTTAGATAGAATTCAGTCCAATCCCTCATCCACAGACAGTCCTTGAAGTACCTAAAAATAACTATCAGGTCCCCACTTAAGTCCGCCTCTATCAAAAGATATTCAGCGCATTATAGTTTGCAGATGCACCACCTCCTAGCCGCTCTCTCATGCCCCGGTTTGTCACTCTTTTAACCATGAACATTTAAGGTAATGAAAAGAGCAGCGCTGTCACCATCTGAGTTCTGGGCACGGGTTTAAAAGTTATCCATGGGGCGCCTGGGTGGCTCAGTCGTTAGGCGTCTGCCTTCGGCTCAGGTCATGATCCCAGGATCCTGGGATCGGGCCCCACATCCGGCTCCCTGCCCGGCGGGAGGCCTGCTTCTCCCACTCCCACTCTCCTTGCTTGTGTTCCCTTTCTCACTGTGTCTCTCTCTGTCAAATAAATAAATAAAATCTTTAAAAAAATAAAAAATTAAAGTATCCTTAAGGCAGCTGATTGGCTGACACGTGACACTGAGAACCAATACTGAGCTTCCAGACAACTACACCCAAAGTTACTGCCTCATGGCCTGCTGCTAAGTCTCCTTGTCTCCTCCTCTGTACCTGTACTGTTATTTTTGGACCTGATAACTGAACTGCCCCAGTTATACTCATTTATTCATTCATTCTTATGTACTTACCACATGCTTTCTCTGTGCCAGGCACTGCTTATAGATGCTACGGATATACAGATGCTAGGTTATGCTAGGACAGATTCCCACAACTCTCTTCCTCAGGTCTGTGTTCCAGCCACACTGGCCTCATTCCTGTTTCTCAACCACATCCAGTTGCTTCCTTGATTTACTTATTTATCCCCACTAGACTATAAACAGCCCAAAGACAGAAACACCACCTGGCCCAGTCCCTATTATATCCCCAGTACCATGCGTAGCACCTAACACATAGTATGTACTCAGTAAACATTTATTGAACGAATGAATCTCTACTAAAATGTATCTTGCCAGCTTGAACTCATCCTTCTAGATCAGTGAGATGTTTTGTGGAATACCAACGTTGTCATCTAGAAGATCTGATCAGTTTTAAGCTCTGTGCCATTCTCAAACATCTCCAAAATTAAAAAGAGGGGGGAAAAAAAACCCACAAATAGGACAAAGTTCCAAACAGAGTCTACTATCAACCCATTTTAAAGCCAACTAACTGGGGCACCTGGGTGGCTCAGTCAGTTAAGCATCTGCCTTCAACTCAGGTCATGATCCCCAGGTGCTGGGATCAAACCCCACATCAGGCGCCCTGCACAGCAGGGGGTCTGCTTCTCCCTCTCCTCTCCTCCCTGCTGTGTTCTCTCTCTCAAATAAATATGTAAAATCTAAAAAATTTTTTTAAAAATTAAAAAAAATAAAGCCAGGACGCCTAGTTGGCTCAGTGGGTTAAGCCTCTGCCTTCGGCTCAGGTCATGATCTCAGGGTCCTGGGATCGAGTCCCGCATCAGGCTCTCTGCTCAGCAGGGAGCCTGCTTCTCTCCCCCCCCTCTCTCTCTGCCTGCTTCTCTGCCTACTTGTGATCTCTGTCCATGAATAAATTAAAAAAAAAAAAGTCTTTAAAAATAAAAAAATAAAAAATAAATAAAGCCAACTAACTATTTTATAATTAGGCCCCACACTGAAAAAGAAAAAATAGGTCTTATTAAAAAAAACTATTATTAAAGGAACTGCTATGAAGAGCTTGGGGGAAAAAGACTCTGTGAGAATATTAAAAGTATTCTCAAATATTTAAAGGATAGACAAGTGGAAGAAAAGTAAGACCTGTCCTCAAATATCCTTAACAAACTCAGGAGAGAGAACGCCTGTTGGCTACAGTAACCTGGGGCCCATTTCAGGGCAGCCTCCGTGACCATCAGAGACATCTAGAGAGGAAATGGTGTGTCTCTTGAGTAGAGACTAATGCCTCATAACTAAGGTATCCAAACAGTGGCTGGACAATCACCTATTTGCAATTAGGTAAAAGAACTCAACCTTTAGAATAAAGGAGTTTTAAAGTTCCCTCCGGCCCTAAAATTTCAGGGTTCACTACATACAACAGTGAGCAATAACAATTAGTCAAAATTATGATCCTAAACATCAACTCAAGATTAGATGAACGCCAAGTACTCTAGTCAAGGTGCATAAACCTAAAGAGTTTTAAACCACACAGGCCTTGGCCCCATCCACAGAGACTTATTTATCCATGTAACTGTCCACTCTTCCATTCAAATATTCACTGAGTCCCCGCTATCTGCCAAGCACTGTGTTGAGCGGTCCAAAGCATGCTGTTTGATAGAACTTTCCGTGTATACCCACTGCAGCTAAGGAACTGAATTTTTAATTTTACTTCATTTTCATTAATTTAGTTTAAATTTAAATAGGTTCTAGCACCTATGTTCTTAGCACCAAAAAATTAAGAATCACTATTCTGGTTAATAGGGCAAATGATTCAAAATCTCTGAATCAAGGGGCGCCTGGGTGGCTCAGTTGGTTAAATGTCTGCCATCGCCTCAGGTCGTGATCCCATGGTCCTGGGACTGAGCCCTGCATTGGGCTCCCTGCTCAGTGGAGAGTCTGCGTCTCCCTCTCCCTCTGCCCCCCACCCACTTGTGCTCTCTCTCTCATGTGCGTGCTCTCTCTCGCTCTCAATAAAGTCTTAAGAATAAATAGACAAAATCTCTAAATCGAAACAAAAAAATGTACTATTGTTAAAAAGGGAAAATATTAACTATGAAGGTTCACTTCTAGAGCATTTCAATCAGTCAAAATTTTCTAGTAATCTAAACTACTCTGTTAAAGTCCTAAAAGAGACAGCACTTAGATGCCCATCAAGTGTGCAGAACTTACATGACTACAGAATGTCTGGGGACTTTTCTGGGGCATTACCTTCTCTCGTGTCATCCCGCCCCATCACCCCCGCCCCCTCCCCACCCAAGAAGCGCTGCCAGGAGCTTACCCGCTCCTCTTTGGTGTAGAGCTGGAAACACTGGGATAAAGTGCAAGTCTGAGGCTGATGATGACGCTCCCTCTGCAGACGGACGCTTTCTGCATCAGGAATATATTCATCTTCAGTATTTACAAACAGGCTGCAATGAGGGAGGGGGTGGGTAATTATTAGAGAATGTCTTGCAAAAACTGACCTCAAAACTGCAGCTTCACAATGTGACTGTAAATTTATAACCAAAAAGAACCAATGTGTAATGAAAGCAAACAGGTTACCCAACTGGTCATCCAACTTCTCTATGTTTCAAAATATGCTTGAAAAGCTCTGTATCTATAAAGATATTTTCAAGAAATAACTTGGGAGTTGGTTATCATGGGAGTGGCCATGAACTATTAATTCATATATTCTTGTCGTGCGTATCTAAGGGCATCTGACACAATTTACAAGAGTTAATGGGCCTATAGTAAAAATTAAAGGGGCAGCTGGGGGGCGCAGTCAGTTAAGCATCCCACTCTTGATTTCAGCTCAGGTCATGATCTCTGGGTTGTGGGATTAACTCCTGAGTTAGGCTCCTTGCCCAGCGTGGATTAAGATTGTCTCTTTCTCTCTCCCTCTCCTCCCCTCCCTAACCCCTCCTTGAGCGTGCTCTCTCTAAAAGTTTTAAAAAAGTAATTGGCCCTGTAGAGTAATGAATAAATAGTTCTGTCTGACAGCATCCAACAAATACTCTGAGGTTTTTGAGATCCAGACAACTGGTTAAATAAAGGATTAGCAGTCCACTTGGATACTTAAAGAGAGATTTGTTTTAGCTAATCTGAAAGATCAAAGGGATGCTATTAAAATGATCATTAAAACAATGATTCTATAAGCACTAGGTAAAAAAAAAAAAAAAATACTCACAAATCTTTTGTTTCCTTGTCCCATTCTACCACTAACTTCACATGAGCGGTGCCACCTGGTCCACAAGATTTTAATGCCCTAGAGCACAGAGATGGAAGTCACATATTATGTTCTAAAGAAATGATTTTACTTATTTGATTATGTCCTATTTGAAATTCAATATCATAAACTGCGATTACTGCGATTACTGAAAATCTTCACCATCGTTCCTTATCAGAAAAAGTTTCTAGTGAGACCATTATGACCTCGTATCTAGAATAACTAGGTTACAATTGGACTGAAAAATCCTTAAATTAAAATATCCAGTATAGGGGCGCCTGGGTGGCTCGGTGGGTTAAGCCTCTGCCTTCGGCTCAGGTCATGATCTGAGGGTCATGGGATCGAGCCCCACATTGGACTCTCTGCTCAGCAGGGAGCCTGCTTAACCCCCCGCCCCGCCTGCTCTCTTACTACTTGTGATCTCTCTGTCCAATAAATTTAAAAAAATCTTTAAATAAAAATGTCCAATATAGACATAAAGAGATTGGAAGAAATTAGTCTCATGTTATAAGGCTGTCCACAATCACTTTTAGATATTCTTTATGACCTTTCTAATTTTTTGTCTCATTTCTCACTAACCCAGATAGAGACCAGATAATAGTTCCTCTGGAAACAAAGTCTGCTCCTGCATCTCTCCTTCTCCCCCATAAACCAAGCACAGAGGCAGCAGAATGAAGTGACAGTCTACTGAGGGAGAGGAGGGACAGAAAGAAGGCTCAAAGGAATGGAATGATCAACAGAGGGCACCACACATGCAAAGGCACACATGAAGCTGTGCCACATGTTCCAGCAATCCTCGTGCTCTGATACTACTGAAAGTCTAAGATGGGAGGAGGAGAAGAGCGGGGCCTGACAAAGTGGGAAGTAGCAGGGTTCAAACTGTGTAGAGCTTCATACACTGTGGAAGTCAGACTTTATCTTTTAGGCTATAGGTTTCCATTTAAGATTTCCAGGAGGAGAGTGGCATGACGAGAATTCTACTTTGGGTAAGTTCCATCCTGACTGAATATTAAAGTGTAATTTAGCTATAGTCCTGGGACATATAATAATTTGATTTCCTGACAGGACTACTCCAGGCTTCTCTGATTTCAAAAAATATCATATATATCATACTCAAGTATGAATGAAAAGTAAAATAAGTAGACTTAATTTCTAAACAAGCCTAAAGAGCCTACCACACTGAGGTAGAAATGATACCAGACATCACTAGAAATTACATAGGAGCATTACTAAAATTCTACAAGGTGACCGATTGATTTTTACCTTTCTACTGTTGGGTGGCACAGCGGCTGCTCCTCCTGGGGCAACAAGTATGTTATCCCCACAACACTGACAACACGCAAACTGAATGGACACACCTGCGTCAAACAATAAAGGAAAATGTGGCTGAACTGCTCTTCAAGGGCATGTGCGTCACAGTGGTCACAGTGGCGTTTCCAAAACTGATTAGACAGACAACAAACGGTTTTGCAAAATGCTTCTCTCTGATATTGTTAGGTTGTTGAGTCACTCTTACACACTTTAAAGATGATGTACCTAAATGCAATTTACATAGCAAATATGTTATGCAAGACAAGTAATATGTTGCTTTAGGCTGAACCTTAACTGAATATAAGTCCTCCAGGAATACCTTCATATAATAATCCTAATTTTGAAAATATACAGAGAGCTGTTCTACAAAATCTCTCAAAGCTGATCATGTACTAATCTTTATTAAATAAATATATATTATAAAGAAATACCTAGCAATTCAAAGAAATTCTTGCAGTGGCCAGGAACTGAGGGGTAAATTCTTAGTCTTGAAAATGTGAACACAGCTGACTTTACCAAACAGCTTTCCACCAGGGCTCCTCAACATCCCAGCTCAGCACCTGGTCTTCCCTAAGTGCAGAGGTCCGAAATTCAAATTTCACCGCAGTGACTGTTTCTTCACTTGGGTACACACGCATGCTATGCTGGAGTGTCAAAATGCTTACCCACCTGGACGCAAACTGTGGGCCTCAGGAAATACTTCATCTTCTCCAAGATTTCCTTCTGCAAAAGGTCCCACGCTATTGTCTTCTCTAAGTGCAGCACAAAAGGCAGTCCAAATCTAACACACATAAATACTGCAATCACCTTAAAAGTATGGCAATCCCTTTAATGCATAATTCTTCATTCATGGTCTCTTAAAATGGAATGACTATATTATCGGGTTTAGGACAGTTCTCAAAATAAAACAGGAAATTTAATAGTTACTTCCATAAGTGGATGAAAAAGTCAGCAGAGAAGCTTAGGTTTCTAAATGAAATTTAACAGTTCATGTGCCAAAATGGCTTCTCAGGGGTACTAGATAGCAAGAGGACAGGATCGACGGATATGGAAAGGGGACGGTTGAGGACATGGTCTGGCAAACAGCATGGGTCCACATATAAGGGGCTGTGTGCTGCAGGAATAGACTGGAAGGTCTAGCAGGCAGGTGGCTGTAGCCTGGTTGTCTGACAAGTTGCTGGCAAGCAAGTGACCCTGAAAGTCAGCTTCCAGCCTACGGTAGAAGCCATGTGCCCCTGCCCATGCTGCAGCCCCCAGGGATTTTTTTTTTTAAATTAAGCCCCCAAGATTCTGCTGTAATCACTCTGGTACAGGGGCCGAGCACAGAGATTTACTGAGGAACCCCCAGGTGGTTCTGATATGCAGCCAGGGCCGAGGACCCCTGGCCCAGGGGCTCTCTCACCCAAGCCTGGCCACTCAGACCTATTTGTGCCCTACGCGTGTCTTACTCATTCTCTGTGCAGTCAACTCCCTCCCCCGGAACACCCCTCCACCCTTCCTCTAGGCCACCTCCTACTCACTCACATCAAGACCCAGTAGAGGGATTCTTCTCTAGGAAGCATCCTGTTGATTTGTTCCCTGTGCTGTCTGGGCCACAGCACTAACTCCACCATGCTACAAATACTGTCTATCTTCCTGCCTCCACCAGTAGACAGTTATCTGATAGCAGGAACTGTGATTTATTTATCACAGTGACCCAAACAGCCAACGCCCAGAAATCCATAGTGCTTAATGAATGAACGAAGGAGCCAAGAGATAAACCCTGACTCAGGCTGAAGGAGATGCACTCAGATCAAAAAAGCCATTCCTAACAGCCTCCGTCTACACAGAGCAGTACTCCACAAACAGCACTGTGACATGAAAGAAATTACAGGCACATGTAAATCGGCCACTCCTATTTTTCACACGGTCGTGTCTTCACTTGCAAGAGAAGAGCATCACAAAAGGGACTCCACAGGTTCTTTATTCTGTATCAACACACTGAGCTGCCTTTCTTTCTGCCCCTTAAACATGCCAAGTTCCCCTTAGTCTCAGGGTTTTTGTACTCATGTTCTCTCCCCACAAAGCCTTCTCTCTGGAGGCTCAGATCACTTACACTGTCTCTTCAGCTCCATGCTCCTTCTTCAGGTGGACCTCCCTGTCCCCCTCTCTAGAGGGGTCTGGCCGCCCCCCGACCAGCACACTCTACCACCCCGGCCCGCTTTAATATCTTCTAAGTGGTGAAGACTGTCTGAAGTGATCTGTGTTTACTTATTTACAGCAGGTCTGTCCTCACTGGGATGTAAGCTCCACAAGAACACAGTCTGTCTCATTCACTGCCCCATGCCCAGTGCTGGAACAGTGCCCAACACGCTGTAAACACTGAAGTATTTGTTAACGAATATCATAAATACACAAATCAACACATTTCGTACTTACATTAACCATTATAAATAAGGAAGTTATTTCTAAGCAACATTTGAAAAGACTAATAAAATGCTATTCTGACAAACAGCAGAAAGAGAGTCCTTTGTCCATGAAACATATCCATATTTTGTTATTACTCAGGTTACAGTACTACTGTGGTAGAGTTGCCTTAAAAGATAGTCTAAAACTCTTATAAATTCTTAGCAGGAAACAGATTTGAGAGAGATTTGCAACTCCCGATTTTCTGACTTAAGCAGCTAAATGAATAGTGCCACCACTTGCTGAGACAGGAAATACTGGAGGCCAGATTTATAGAGAGAACCAGTTCAGTTTGGAACATAAGACTGAGATGCATGTACCATTCAAGTAGATATGTTAAGAATTTTTTTAAAAGGGAAAAAAAAGCTGTTAAGAAAGTAGCTGGATTTAGGCCTACAGGCCCCTTGAGGAACCTGAACTAAAAATAAACACATGAACCAAGACTTTAACAACTAGATGAGCTTGCAGAGCCTTTCTAATTCTGATTCTATCATCCTAATTTTATATTCTCCCCCTCCCAAGCCATCAAATCAGGTCAACTAATACACATATTCTTTCTAAATATCTAAATCAAAAATTAATAAAAGGGTTTTTCATCCTTAAATACTGAACTTTTAAAGTTTCAGCACTTATTATGAGCCAGTTTTTACCTTTTCCCTTGCTGCCCAGTGCATGCTCGGTTACACACTAACAGAACAATCTTGTCGTTTCCTGCTCTTGTTGGGGGCAAGTCTGTTTTCCCTTGCTTTGCTGCTGCCTGTGTAGGAGAAGATAGTCGATGATCCAAGCCAAATTTCAAGTGGTTTAGATTGTTGTTTAAGTGGATTCCTGGAAAAATAAAATAAAAAAGAACATTATCAATTCAAAATTCCTTTTATTCATTACAAAGAAATTCATGCAAAAGAGAAATTAAGAAACTGCATTATGTAATTTAAACTACAATAAAAAAAACAATGCTCTACTTTGAGATAACTTCTCTAGCCATTAAAATAATTTTTTCTTTTTCACTTTCTTTTTTTTAAGTAGGCTCTATATCCAGCGTGGAGCCCAAGTGGGGCTTGAACTCACAACCCTGAGATCAAGAATCTGAGCTGAGGGGTGCCTGGGTGGCTCAGTGGGTTAGGCTGCTGCCTTCGGCTCAGGTCATGATCTCAGAGTCCTGGGATCGAGCCCCGCATCGGGCTCTCTGCTGTCTAGGGGAGCCTGCTTCCTCCTCTCTCTCTGCCTGCTTGTGATCTCTCTGTCAAATAAATAAATAAAATCTTTAAAAAAAAAAAAAAGAATCTGAGCTGAAATCAAAAGTCAGAGGCTTAACCAACTGAGCCACCCAGGCGCCCCACCATTAAAATAATGTAAGTATCTACATTTCCTTTAAACTAGCTTTATGTATCTTGAAAACTGAAATTTAAAACTCTTCACTTGAGGTCACCTGGGTGGTTCAGTCAGCTGAGCATCTGACTCTTGATTTCAGCTCAGGTAATGATCTCAGCGTCCTCGGATCGAGCCCCATACCAGGCTCCATACTTGGTGGGGAATCTGCTTGAGGAGTCTCTCTCTCTTCCTCTGCTCCTTCCCCTGCTCATGCACTCTCTCTCTCAAATAAATAAAATCTTCAACAACAACAACAAAAAGCCCTCTTCACTTGAGCAAATACTGGATACAGTTTTAGAAGAGCAAGTTTGCAGAGATGATCCGCCAAGACAAATTTAAGGTAAGACTATGCAACCAGCAACCAAATAAACTGGAAAAAAAAAATTTAAGACTAGTAAATGTGGAATGAACTTCAATATTCTAACTGCAGTTTCTTCTCCCTAATTAAAGAGCCAGAGTTATGAGAAACAGAAGATAAACCATCTTTACCAGATCCACAGCCATTATAAGACACGGAAACTTTAATACAATCAACCACACTAGATGGACCTACATTTAAGTGAACAAAAATATATGACTGATGGGCATGATACAGGTCGCTGAAAATCAGGTGAAATAGAGCTATCAGAGCCACTCAGCAACTCAGCACCTAGTACAATGCCCTGTACTTAGCAGAAACTCAAGTGCTTGATTAAACAATGGTTCATGTTCATGGAATACTACTCAGCCATAAAAAAGAAGGAACTCTTGCCATTTGCAATAACATGGATGGACATTAAGAGCATTATGCTAAATGAAAGAAGTCAGAGAAAGAGAAATACCATATGATCTCATTATATGTGGAATATAAGACAGTATCAACAAAACCAAGCTCACATATACAGAGAACGGATTAGTGGTTGCAGAGGGTGAGGTGATGTCAGGCAAATTCAGTGAAAGGGGATCAAAAGGTACAAACTTCCAGCTATAAAATAAATAAGTAATGGGATGTAATGTACAGCATGGTGACTACAGTTAATACTGTACTGTATATCTGAAAGTTGCTAAGAAAGTAGATCTTAAAAGTTCTCATCATAATAAGAAACTATTGTTAACTATATGGAGATGGGTGTTAACTAGACTTCCTGTAATGATCATTTTGCACTATATACAAACACTGAATCATTATATTGTACCCTCTGAAACTAACATGTTATATGTCAATTATACCTCAATAAAAAAATAAAATTAGTTGTTCCTGTCTTTAATCCTCTGGAAGTACAGCCTAAGGAAACCTACAAAAAAAAAAAAAGAAAGCCCTCCGGGTTGCCTCAGTGGCTCACTCAGTTAAATATCTGCCTGAAGCTCAGGTCATGATCTCAGGGTCCTGGGATCAAGCCCCACGTCAGGCTCCCTGATCAGGAGAGAGTCTGCTTCTCCCACTCCCTCTGCCTCTCCCCATTCCCCGTGGTCTCTCTCACTCTCTCTTAAACAAAAATCTTTTTTAAAAAAAGGAAAGGGGAAGGAAAGCCCTCGACCACCACCACCACAACCGCCACATGCACAAACACACAAACAAACCCGCCACCAAAAGGAGACTAAAAAAGTGGCTATACAAAAGCATTCATGGCGGCATTTTAGCAACAACCTAAATATCCAGCAATATGAGACCTGCCAAACCTATTAAGGGACATTAGTATTACAGCAATTTAAAAGGACCAGTGTGTGGTTAATCGAAATAAATTCCAGGTGAATTAGAGTTTAAAAAAAAAAAGTAAACAGAAATTAGAAGTAAGAAAAAATAGAATCTTCATCAAGCTATTAGAGAGAGGAAGACTTTTTAAGCTTAAACACCAAAAAGAAATCACAAAAGGAAGAACAGATTTCACTTTATAGTCATTTTAAACTTTGATATGAGAAAATAAAAACAAGTCTGAATTTGAGACAATGAATTATCTCATTTCCCAGCTCCTTGCAGAAGGCAGGCGTGTGCTAAAGTGATGAGGGTCCCTAATGAGATGAGGGGCAGCACTCAACTGCACGGAAATCAAGCTGTGTTCAAGAAGCGCCCCCACTTACTAGCAGATGCACTACTGGGGGTTACTCAACCTCCCCAAGACTTCGCACTCTTATTTGCAAAGCAGGAAGGCAGCAGATTCATACGTCTCAAATAAGTTATTTACAAGGCTTTAACAGAGGCTAACACATACTCAGTAAGTGGTCTGGTCTTCCAACAGAGGCACTCTCTGGTTAGTAGATGATAACCTTGGACCTCACCAAATTCACTTAAAAACAGAAACTTAGGGTTAACCCTTAGCAATGAGGGTGTGAAAGGGGATTTTAGCAAATCTTCAGTTAACAAACTTTAACTGGGCTCTTGTTATGCATGAGGAACTATACTGAACTGCTGGGTACAGAAAGAGAAAACAAAACACAGCCCCAACTGCAAAGAATTTCATAGTGCAGTGGAAGGACAGAGGAGAAAAAAGATCATCTGCATACAACGTGCTGGTGTCAGAGATTAGCAGAAGATGTGACTAGAGCAAGGAGGAGGAGGAAGTCAGCCAGCTTGGGAGGAGGGGCTCGGGGGGAGGGGGTGAGTGGTGAGGAAAAGCTTTCTGGAAAAGGTGATAACTGAGTATTCTTTTACTGTAATGTAATTAAAAGTAGAAAACAACTTGAGCAAAGCACACACATGAAAATGCCACTTGCAAATAAAAAGAAGCTGTCAGGTCAAAGAAAAATTAAAACTGAAACAAAAGACTACCTAGAAAATAATAATGTAAATATGGGTATACCAGAGATAATGGAATCCTAGACTGGCAGCAGAGAAAGTTGACCAACCCAATGTACAGAATTACCAAAAGGTTCAGAAACTCGAGGCACCTCTGGAAATAGGTGATGAAGGAAAGGTGGAACCAAAATAAGGACATTCAACAAGGACACCAAGATCATTCAATGTGGAAAGAATAGTATCTCTGACAAATGGTGCTAGGATTACTGTTTACATACAACAGAAGAATGCAGCTGAATACCCACCACAAACCACATACAAAAAATAACTCAAAAGGGTACAAAGATCTAAATGTAAGAGCTAAAATGTAAGAGCTAAAACTCAAAAGGGTGCAAAGATCTAAGTGTAAGAGCTAAAATTCCTAGAAGTAAACACAGGGGTAAACTTCATGGTCCTGGATTTAAGAATGGAATCTTAGATAAGCAACAAAAAGCATAAGCCACAAAAAAAGAAAACATTAGACTTCATCAAAACTAAGAACTTTTGTGCATCAAAAGACACTATCAGGAAAGTGAAAAGGCAATCTATAGAATGGGAGAAAATACCTGGAAGTCATATATCTGATAAGGGTCTAGCATCCAGCATATATATATTTATATATAGCATCCAGCATATATAAAGAACTCCTACAACTCAATAACAAAAATAAACTAACAACCCCATTTAAAAATCTGAATAGACATTTTTCTAAAGAAGGTAAACCAATGTCCAAAGCACATGAAAACATGATCAACATCATTTATCATGCAAATACAAACACATTAACACACCACTTCACACCCACTAGGATGGCTATAATCAAAAAGATGGAAAATAATAAATGTTGGCAAGAATGTAGATAAATTATGACCCTCATATATTGGTGGGATGAAAAATGATTCACCTGTTGAAAAAAACAGTCTGACAATTCCTCAGAAGGTTAAACACAGAATTACCATGATCCAGTGTTTCCACTCCTAGGGGTGTGTGTATGGATGTGTGTATCCCCCCAAAAAACTGAAAACAGGTATTCAAACAAATATTTGTACATGAATGGTCATAACAGCACTATTTCATAATGTGGAAACAACCCAAATGTCCATCAACAGATAAATGGATCAACAAAATGTGGCATATACATACAATGGAATACTCTTCAGTGATAAAAAGGACTGAAGGACTGATACATGCTACAATATGGATGAACCCTGAAACACTATGCTAAGTGAAAGAAGCAAGTCCCAAAAGGCCACGTTATATGTTTCTGTTCACATGAACGTCTAAACTAGGGAAATCTACAGAGATCAGAGTAGAATAGCGTGGTTGCTTAGGACTGGGTGAGATGAGTGGATTGCAGGGAGGCACGTGTAGGGGAGATAAAGTAAGAGCTGATAAAGGATCTAGAGAAATGAATTCTCAACAGAAAGAAAGTATAAAAGTACATGACATATTCCAAAAATACAGAGTAACCTAGATAGGGTACATGAAGGAGATGGAATATAATAAAGAGGCTAGAAAGAAAGGCAAGGACCAACCATGAATTCTTCCAAGGTGTTCAGATTTAATCTCAAAAGGGAAACACTGGCAAGTCAATAAGCATATAATATGATCAGAAACGTATATCCAAAAAAGTCTGGTGGCACCATGAAAAAATAATTAACAGAAGAAAGTCGAGGGGTAAAGACAGTTAGTAGAGAAGTTACTAGAAAAGCCCAGCTGAGATAGGTCTGAGCCATACCAGTGGCAAGAGGATGAGGAAGAAAACGGCATAGTGTTTAATCATTTCTATGTGAATTTTGAGGAAGAAGTGCTCGGATCCACCTTGGGTGAAAAGAAGGATGGTGATACCATGATTCCAGAGAAGAAATGCAGGAGGATACAGTCTAAGAAATGCTGATGTTAAGACGATGCAGGACTTCTAAGCAGAGATTCCGAGGAAGAGTTAGAAGTCAGGGATGGAAGCAGAGGAAAAGGAGATGAGCGGGGAGGTTCAGTTCTAAAAAACATGGCAGGAGAAAGACACTGCGCAGACTAGGTTCTCAGTTCAGCCATTCTCCCACTTTGGCGTGCACTGGAATCACCTGTGAAAAACCGCAGGCTGGGCCCCAGCCCCAGGGCTTCTCGTTCAGTAGGTCTGCAGTAGGTTCCGGGAATCTGCATTTCTAACCAGTTCCCAGGTGCCTTTCATGCTTTAATAATCACTGGAATAAAGTAAAGGAAAAGAACAGAAGCCCCAGAACCATGAAGAACACTAAGGCCAGGAACAAAGTTCGAGTTGCCTAGCAACTTTCAAAATCAGAAATAGCCCCCAAATCCTCCAACCACAGTAGAGAGACAGGCTAAGTTCCAAACCACAGGAAAAGGAACAGCACTGTCCAGAGCTAGACTTTCTTTTGCTTCTTATTGATGCAAATTTCTTAAAAGCAAGGTATTAAGCAAACATCTTATAACCGAGTTAGAATTTAGAAATTAAGCATCGGAGCAGGTAACAAAAGGCAAAAAAAAAAAAAAAAAAAAAAAGCAGCTATGGCATCATACATCTTCCCAAATGCTGTCGTAAGATGCTAAGAAGCCACTTAACCAAAAAGGAGGGAGGATTCAGTCATTTCTGAGACTCAGATAGGGACTGCTCCAAGTGCAGGCAGAAAAGATTAGAAACTAAGGAAATATCTTTGCCTAAAACAGTGAGAACTGCCTTGTTCCAGAGAAATGCTACCATAAAATTTATACCATCATAAAAATAAGTTATGGGTATTTTACCACAGTTAAAAAAAGTATGCCATTATAGAACAGACATCTCAAAGGGTAGACAGTTGTGAAACCTGAAAACCCTTATGGAAAAGATGCTCATTTACCTCTTTGACTGAGAATTCCTTCAGGCCTAAATATTTCTGGAGTCTCAAAGGCAAAAATGCAGTCGCTTTCATGGACTGTTTCCAGGTCGTCTGTGTCACAAAAGGAACGATGGAACCCATCATAGTACATTTCCGTTAACACAATCTAAAAATGGGAAAAATGTAAACAGTTGGGTAACTGGAAAGTCAATACGAATTGATCTCCCGATTCTACCATGAGCTTCTCCAGTCTGTCAGGGCTTGTGGGGACGTGAGAGGGACTGAAACATGTCACAGGGCCCACACTGTTTGCCTTCAGTGAGAGAATCATAGAAGCACGATATCCTCTGTAAACGTGTAACATACCCTCATTTCAGAATGCTATGTCACGGAATCCAGAGTTCCTCTAAGTTTTTGTGAAGAAGAGTCCCCAGGAAATGATAAAGTATAAGCCCCTTGTCTCACAAGGGGGAGAAACTGAAGAGAGGTGGGAGACTTGTCAACAAGACAAGCAGAGACCACATCTAATTCCGAGACTTTCTCCTACCTCAATAACTTTTCTTTGTTTCAGGTTAAAAATGTCATACAACCACAGATTTTGTAAAAGGAAAAAAAAAATGAAATCAACCCAAACCAGGAACTAGTTAAGTATATTACACAGTCCTACTGTAATTACAAAGAATGAGCCGCACATACGTGCACTAACATGGGAAGATCTCCTAGTTAAATAAGAAGTGACATAAAGAATAATTTGTGTAAATGATTCCATTCTTTATAAAATAACAAATGTAGTATATGCACAGGAAAAAATAGGGGTGAATATACAACACAGTATTAGAGTCAGTAACTCTGAGTTCTAAGATACTTAGGACAAGATACTTCTACTTTCTAAGTCCTGTTTCTGAAATGGTTGAGTTTTCACAATTAAAAAAAAGGGGGGGGGAACACAATGGAAACATTTAGATGCTCACTACACACTCAGCAGCACTGTCTAGAGAAAAAGCACTGGGCTGGGCATGAAGAGGCTCCAGTCCCAGCCTGCCACCAACCAGCCCTATGCTCTTGAACAAGTCACATGGTTTCTCTGGGCCTCCTTCAAATGAGGGGCTTGGAAGGGAGCCCTAAAATCCCCTCTGCTAACACAAACATACTACGAGTCTGTGAGGTTAAAGAGGCTGGTGGCACATTCCACAAATAGTCCAAGAAAAATACCCCTAGCGTATTTTTCTTCTGATGAGTTTAATAACCACATTGTTTTTCTGCAGGTGAACATGCAAGATAATTTACTTTCTCCAGCAAGCTAACGTCAAAAACAAACTTGTAATTCTATCAGCCATTTAAACCACATGCAAAAAGAGCCAGAGAGCACTGAAGCTTTAAAGATACAACCAGATCTGCCCAGAAACACACACCTCAGCCTGCCTCCCTCTTTCAGTCTTTCCCCTCATCCTGAAGGGAAAAAAGAATCAAAAAGCACTTGAAAGTAAGGAAGAATATGAACATTTTATCAACACGCCAGTACTTGGCCTATGAAAATATGAGATATTTGCTGTTATTGGTCGTATTTGTTTTACTGTATTTGGTTGTATTTGTTTTACTGGAACTTCCCAAATGAAGCCACATGAGGCCAAAGTACAAAACACCTTTATTAATCACGTGATTACACAGCAGCTTCCAGAAGCTATCTAGGGAAAAGTTATTCTACCACAGGATCATCTTTCCTTAGTAAATCTAAAATCAGAAATGTTTTTCTAAATAAAATCGTAATAATGAATTGAGTAAAAACTGTATGCAAAAATGTCAAGTCACAAACAAGCCAAAAGTATTTTGGGTCAACTTAAATATAACTACTTATCAAAAATTTACACCCCCCCCCCCAAAAGAAGGCAGAAGGGGCACAACGTTCCTTTCTCGCATCTAAATGACGTGAGTCTCTGACCCAGCTTTAAGCAGGAAGCGAACCATATGGAGCATCTGTATGTACTACACCAGCAAGAAGATATCCATCCTTATCACCATAATGGAAAGGGATTTTCAAGAGCCACTAGTGGAGTTTTCCAAGCCTCTCTGACCTTCAAATAGCATAGGGATGCTCTTTCAATTGCCCACATAAGCATCCATAAGGATAGTTTAAGAAAGGCTGAGTAATTATGCTTTATAAACAAAGCTAAAAGAAGGTCTTGGTGTCAAGTCACAGCTTTCCTTTTAAAAATATATGTATAATTAAATGAAGCATGAAAAGTTTTCATATATATTTTCCTTCTTTGGGTCTTGATTTTTCTTTCCTCAACACAGACACAACTGGTTTTGCATTTCTATCTAACCATACTTGGCAGAGGACTATTAGAAAATTCCAGAACAGAAAGCAACACTTTTATGGCTCATGTGTAATCGGCCTGAGCAGGCTTATTACCTGATCAGTGGGGATCTTTGTTTCCATAGACACTGCTTCCCGAAGCCTGGCGACAGTCCCAGACAGAGGCACGGCCACACCAATCCTCATGCAGTGAGAACATTTCCCCTGATACACTACGGTAACATAGAGAGGCCTGTGCAGATCAAAGTCAGATCTTCTCATTAGGCATTTATTTCAACTAAAATACAGAAGCAAAACAAACCTGATCTGAAATTAACACAAAACTGAAGCTAACCTACACCTTTATTTGGAAGCCAAAGGGGTTAAGTGGAACCAGAAAACAATAATCAAGACACCTTTGGAAAAGGCAGTCAAACAAAATGTAACATATCAACACTTGATTCTGTGCTTTGTATGTTACAAAGCCTAACTCTCAGAAATTTTGAAAAAACAGTTCAAATAAAGTAACTAATTTAAAGTGCAACATATAGTCTCTAGAAAATCTAGAAGACACTCCACAACCCTCCCCCTGCCCCACACTATCAGTGGACAAGCAACTGAACAAACGACAACCACGGGAACTGTAAAAAGACTTGCTTGCCGCGTGTGCCTGCTCACCTTGTAAATTCAGACTGGGATTTACAGACTTCTGTGAGGTTTTTACAATGCCTGTATTCAATTTATCACTAATCTCGTTACCTAAGTAAGGAGACCAAACAGGAGCCTACAGAGGAAAGGAATACACAGGAACGTACAGTCTTAATTTTATTAAACCTGCTCTTCTTACCTTGTGTGGGGTAGAGGAATTGGCAAAGAAATGCAGAGGAAAGGGTCAAAGGTGTTGCTCTGCTTCTGACAGTGAGGACATGTCAAAGAAGATCTTCAGAGACAAAAATGAGAGACACACAGAGTAAGATCATCTAGGGCTATGTCAAGCAGACCACATAAGAGACAATTTGATATGCTCATACCTGTACTGGGCTTGAAAAAGTTCTTGTACAAAAGTGCTACAGACAGGAAAAGATGGTCCCTCAGGCATCATATCAGTCTCTGATGGTGGCTAAAAAAAGGGCAAGTACAATTTCACACATTAGAAGTACCAGTTTTTGATGGGAGATAAACCTGAAACAGTCACAAATGTCCTGACTTCCTCTACAAGCTGTGCATCAGGTCCAGATGTTCCAGTGAAAAGAATGTGCTGAAGGCATCAGAATGCAGTGGCCAGGATGGGGGTCACGAGGATGCATGTCATAGGCTCTTCCACAGACCGTGCCTGTGCTGGTCTCTCCACCCCACACAGGCAGCCCGGCAGTCCTTCCATAGGGTGCTCCCATCTCCCTCCAGCTCTGAAGGTCTCCCTCTGGGCTCTTCCAGGAAATAACCCCCACCATGGTGCCCACCCGCTCGAGCCCCTGCCAGCTGTGCTGCTCGATTTGGTGCCCAGCCACTCTACTGCATATTTAATTGGCCTTTTCATGTCCATCCACCTGACAGTTAGTCACTGAACACCTGCTAGCATGTACAGAGAGCCCCGCAAAGGGCACAAGGACACAAAGATAAATAAGACACAGTGCCTGACCTTGAGTACATCTCAGTCTGGTGGGACACCTAGCCACAATCACGTGGTCCTATGACAGTACAGAGTGTATGGGCACAGAGGGACCTTGAATCAGAATTACTTAACACCTTACCAAAATCACAGACTGAAATTTTGAATTACAGTGCAGAATTATCAAAACCTTTAAAAATGGCAAGCGAATAGCAACTCTTTGGTCTATTATTTCCACTATAGAAATCATTTCACCAATCATATTAAGGCTGCATGCATAAAAACTGAGGAAGAATCACTATTTCTTAGTAGGATATTCTAGGGGTTCAGTTCCTACACTCAAATCCAATTGTAATAGCAAAGACATCCATTCATTTCCTTTTTGAGCGTGTATTCATTTCAGTAATCTGTAAGTCTATGTGTCTCACTGGAAAAGAAAGCAATTTCTGCTTTAAATACAGCTTAGTGACCTGGAATCACTTGACTGTAGTCTAAAGCTAGTCACACACGCAAATATGTCCTCCCTCCCTAGACTCTAAGTTCCTTAGACACAGCATCTTTCTTATGCTCCCAGCAAGCAGTAAACACAAGGAAAATCCTCTAAGTACCCCTGAATTTTATACTTACCCAGGGCTTAGTTGATTTCACTATTATTAACTAAATGCAAACCGCAACAACTCCTCAGTGGAGGTCTGAGAGAAGAATCTACATTCACTCCATTCACTAAACCATCCCCTAGCCCCCTGCTTCCGGCTCCCTGGCTGCCCCAGCAGGGCGCGCACCCTCACCTTCAGAGAAGGCTGGCCACTCTGCTTCACAGCATGATTGAGGTCTTCATGAACTCGGTCCAGAAGCCACAGCAGAAACTCCTGGGCGTCATGCTGGGAATTTCCCCGATATTGCAGTGCGTTCTTTGACACAATACTCTACACAGGTAAATAAATCAGCATGAATAGTTGAATTCCTGGTTTTAAAGATGAACTATTCATAATCCCAAAGAGGGATGCAAAATCTCAAGGGTGTTAAGAGCACGTCCTAGAAAGACAGCAGCATAAAAACAGATGCTTAAGGTAAAAGCCACCCCGAGAAACATGTATAGAAGACTTAAATGCACCTACCGAACCAATCCTACTTTGAGGAATATCTCTAAAGAAACCAACAAAACAGCAAGCCAAGACTTCTAAGAAAATATTCGTTCGTCAGGCTTTATAATAGCAAAAAGTTGGTAATAACTTGAACATCTTAAAAATGAGAGCTGGTTAAATAAGTAACATAGTACTGAATTATAAACCCAAGTATAAAATAAATACATCTACAACACAAAAATGATTAAATGAAAAAGGGGAAGAAATAAATCTTCCTCATAGAATTCCAAATAATTAATGTCAATAGTTTCCTCTCAGGAGTTGGACCTTAACTACCTTGACCAATGACATGCTTCCAAAGATTACAATATGGAAAGAGGGGTGGCCAGTGAAAGGTGCTCAATGAACTGGTTAATTAAATGCATGGCTCTGGAGCATACAGCCTGGGTTCAAATTTCTCTCCTACCACTTGTATTTGTGAGACCTGGGCCGACTCTCTTCCGAAGTAAAAGAATGGTGAGTTAATGTGGTGGTTAAGTAAGAATGCATGCACAACATTTCACATGTAAGTAAGATATAATAAGAACTCAAATTTCAGCTGAGTATGGGATTTGGAAGTAGGAGGGAGAAGGAGACACAACTGCAGTTGTGGGCAGTGAGGAGACAAAGGCGTTGATGAGGCAAGAAAATACTGAGGATCCAAGCTAAGGCAGTGAGGACAGAAACATGAAAGCAGACCTGAGAGATTTAGGAATTTAGGCAGTAGACTCAATAGAATTTGTGACCAAATGAATGGGGACAGTGAGAAGGGAGGCATTAATGTCCCCAAGGTGTCATATCTGGGCTATGGGCAACTGATGGTGCCCTTCATCAAGGCAAAATGAAAAAGGAAGAAGTCTGGGGAAGATGACAATGAGTTCCCTTTTCAAATCCACTGCATTTAAAGTTCTGTGGAACCTCCAAGTGGAAGTATCTGGTAAACAAATGAGGAATACAGATCTGGGGTTCAGTGGAAGAGCGTGCCCTGAGGAAAAAGATTTGGGAGTAACAGATGAGTGGTAGCCGAAATCATGAGTATAGATGAGATTGCCCAGACATGGCCAGGAGAGATCAAGCCAGAGGACAAATATATTTGGGGGCCCTCAAAAGAGACCAAGAAAAGACCACCAAAGACATGGTAAGAAAAGCAGGAGAACGGGGTGCCTGGTGGCTCAGTGGGTTAAGAGTCCGCCTTTAGCTCAGGTCATGATCTCAGGGTCCTGGGATCAAGTACTGCATGGGGCTCTCTGCTCAGAAGGGAGCCTGCTTCCCCCCCCGCCCCGCCCACCTGCCTCTCTGCCTATTTGTGATCTCTGTCAAATAAATAAACAAAATTTTAAAAAAAAGAAAGAAGGGGCGCCTGGATGGCTCAGTGGGTTAAAGCCTCTGCCTTCGGCTCGGGTCATGATCGAGCCCCGCATCTGGCTCTCTGCTCGGCAGGGAGCCTGCTTCCTCCTCCCTCTCTCTCTGCCTGCCTCTCTGCCTACTTGTGATCTCTGTCAGATAAAATAAATAAAATCTTAAAAAAAAAAAAGAAAGAAAGAAAGAAAAGAAAAGCAGGAGAACAGAGTCTCAAGAGTCAAGAGAAGAGGGTTATGAAGGAGACAGTGATCAACGGTGTTAAGAATGATAAAATAGGGGCGCCTGGGTGGCTCAGTGGGTTAGGCCGCTGCCTTCGGCTCAGGTCATGATCTCAGGGTCCTGGGATCAAGCCCCACATCGGGCTCTCTGCTCAGCGGGGAGCCTGCTTCCTCCTCTCTCTCTGCCTGCCTCTCTGCCTGCTTGTGATCTCTCTCTGTCAAATAAATAAATAAAATCTTTAAAAAAAAAAAAAAAGAATGATAAAATAGGACAAAGAACTAAAAATTGTCCACTGAATTTTCCATTTAAGATGATAATAGGGGAGTGCCTGGCTGGCTCAGTTGGTGAAGTGTGTAACTCTTGATCTCAGGGTTGTGGGTCTGAGTCTCACATTAGATCTAAAGATCACATAAAAATAAAACATTAAGGGGCACCTGGGTGGCTTAGTTGGTTAAGTTCCAGTCTTGGTTTTGCCTCAGCCCATGATCTCACACGTAGTGGGATCGAGCTCCGCATCAGACTCCACGCTCAGCAGAGAATCTGCTTGAAGATTTTCTTCCTCTGCTCCTCTACCCAGTCACTCCCTTATGCTCTCTAAAATAAATAAATAGATCTTTAAAAAAGATCTTTAAAAAAAAAAAAAAGGGACAGATTTACAACTGGATTATGAACCATCATAACCTGATGATCAATTAAATGTGAATGATAACAAAAAGATGATTGACGAAGATTCAAATTCAAAGAGGAAAAAAATCAAAGGGACACAAGTAAGAGAACACTGAGGTCTCAACTGGCAAAATCTACTAACTGGATAAAGTGAGCAGAGGAGCAGAAGGACCCTGACAACAAAGTTTCAGTGACTAGAAGGACACCACTTGAATGCTATCTCAGACAAAGGTACACCAAAGGAGAAATGGTGTGGGGAGTCTTCACTATGCTACAAAACTTCCTCCACGGCCAGATACCACCTGAATCATCAAATCCAGGATTTTCTTCCTTGGGTTTCACCTTCCTTAATCTCCCTATAGCAGTTTATACCTGACACCGTACTTCATCTAGAAATAGTCTGGCTTGTGGCCTTATGTACTCATTTAGGAGAATCAAAGCCAGAGACATTTGGTGTAGACAGTGGGAAAATGTGAGCTACAGAAGAAAGAGAAGTTTTTCCCATAAAGAAAAAAAGACCAATAAAAGCCATCAGCACTAGCAGCACCACTGATAGTGTGGACAACTCAGGAAGGAAAAGAAACAAGTGACAAGTAATGGTGATACTATATTAAGGGATACAAAGAAGAAATGAGGGATGACACCAAGGTTTTTAGTATCTGATTTAGATGGATAATGAAATCGGGAACAGAGGAAGTGACTGAGGGACAGTAGAGATTTCAACATGCTGAATCTGAGGGACCTGTAGGATCCCCAGTGAGGTGAAGTCTGGGGTTCAGGAAAGAAATCTGAGCTGGAAAGTTAAATCAGAGCAGCACTCTCTTACCGTATGAACACAGAGGAAAAAACCCTGGAAACACATAATGAGAAAAGGAGGCAGCTAGATTCTTGAAAAAGGATGGCACAGAAGGGATAAGTCACAATGAAGAAGCCAAAGAATTGATAAGAGAAGCCCGAAGAGCCAGAGAGTTCAGGAAGCAGAGAGGTAAATGACGGCAGAAAAGTCAGGTAAGACGGGCACGGAGGCGGTCCTCTGGAACAGCAAGTTAAGAACAGACAGCGCCGTCTCAGTGAAGCAGATACTGACCAGAGAGGGTGAGAGAGAGGAAAAGTAAGGAAATCGAATGACTGCAAGAACACCACCCTTCGTCCGCAAGAGGCTCAGTCACAGAAGAAGGGAAGGAAGAGAGATGCTCCGCCTGGTGGGGAGCTTCCGGTGAAGAGGGACTTGCACGCTGAGGGGAAGGAGCTCACGGAAGGGAGACACCTGCAGAAGGAGCATTCTTCAGTGAGAGGCAAGGGGGGGATTCAGAAAAGAGGTCGAGAAGTGCCTTAAACAGGAGGTGGGAGAGACAGGAGAGAAGGACATAAAGATAGTTACAGATTCAGAAGTTATAGACAGGAAGGCAGGGAACCTTCATTTTTGTTAGTTGTTCTGGGTTGTTCCTTTTGGGGAAAAACCACACGACAGCTGCCAAGAGGCAGTCTCAGGGGTGGCAAGGCTAATGACAAATCTCCTGGCCTACAGACAGGGCACACCAACCGCCTGAAGCACGGCAAGTGTCTGGTCTAGGAACCCTCTCTTGTATTTACTCCCAGCGGGGATGGGGAGCCCTCCACGCACACGTTCCTGAGAAACGAGTTAGCTGAAATCAAGCTCCTCGTTACGTGTCACAGCAGACAGTTCAAGCACAGTATCCATCAAATGTCACCGTGGAGACAATACACAATTCTTTATCAGGACTGCATCAAATCTGATTTATGATTCCTGCCACTATCACTTCAACTCAGCTAAGCACTTATTCCCCAGTCCCTGTGTACAAAGTGCTGTGCAGAGGCTGCTCGACCAGATTTTTGTTGGGCACGACTCAACAGGCAATAGGACTTCCACAACCCCCGTAACTAGGGCAGAAACTGCTCCAGGTCAACCCCACCCTAAATCACTACATCACAAACTGAAGGACGTTTTACAGGAAACCTCCCTGAACACACACAAACACAAAAGCTCCTTTTTCTGACCCTTTTTCCTCCTTCACAATGGTGACTTCTTCCCACTGCAGAGACCCAAGGGACTATCTGTTTTACTTCTTACCAAAACAAGACAAAACATAGAATAATCTAGTAATTACTTTGTAGCACATGTTACAGAAGAAAGAAAAATAGTGGGAGTCAAGAAGGAAAAAACAGTGGGAATCAAGAAACCGGGGCCCAGTCTCTGGCTCTGCCACAAACCATAAACTGGTTATCTCAGGTAACTCACGGAACCTGTGCTTTCTGGTTTATAAAGCAAAGCAGTTGAGTTGGCCATCAATGACACTTCTAGCATCCCAAATCTTCCCCTAACCTCTTCCCCTAGAGTCCCAACAAGTGATTTGACTTTTGCTTTGGGCTTCGTTTTTTTTTTTAAGATTTTATTTATTTACTTGATAAACAGAGATCACAAGTAGGCAGAGAGGCAGGCAGAGAGAGAGAGGGGGGAAGGAGGCTCCCTGATGAGCAGAAAGCCCTATGCTGGGCTCAATACCAGGACCCTGAGATCATGACCTGAGCCAAAG